CTTGAAGTGGTGGAGGGACAATGCAAGAGAGGAAGACCCTTGATGAGATGGATTGATTCAGTGGCTGGGATAATGGGGGTAGGTGTGTCAGAGACAGTAAGACTGACACAGGATAGAGCAGGGTTTAGGGCTGTTGTACACAGGGTTGCTGTCAGTTGCAAGCGACTTGACAGAACATAACAACAACATACTATATGCTAAGATAAACATTTGACTAATATTAGTTACAAACTGTACTTACTTGGGAGTTCTGGTACAAATTTTACAGATTTACAAAAGCAACTCATTGGTAATATGGGGACTGGTCTGAAGAAATAATTGTTGAATGAATGCAGACACTAATTAACATGACAATAAAATAAGATTTATGATACAAATATATGCATGAAGTTATAAATAATTTGAAGAGATTTCCCAAATTCTTCAGGAACAGTAGTTCTCAAAATAAGTGAGTATAAGAATTTCCAGATATATTCACACAATGGAATACTATGCTGCATTGAAAAACAAGGAACTCATGCAATATTATTCAAAATGGGTGACCCTGGAGGACATTATGCTGAGTGAAGTATCTAAGTCACAAAAGGACAAATACTGCATGGTGCCACTGTTGTAAAACAGGACTGACATCAAGGTTGGGGGGAGATGGAGAAAGGTGGGTTCAATAATGTGTACTGCATTGAAACAGATGAGGAAGAAAACTGTTTAAAAGGGATATGTGATTAGGTCTTTTTTGTCATGACAGGAGTCCAGAGTAAAGGCTGCATAGTGGAGTGGACCAGGGCGGGGGGATTGTAAAACAATGAAAGAATTTTTCTTTTGATTTTGCAAGAAGGGAGTGTACTGGGGGTGGGGGGGAGTAGGGTTGCGAGGGGATAAAAGTGCAACAATGAACGAATGGAAATCCAAAGTCTCTGTAAATTTTCATTGAAATTAATAATAAAAAAATGAAAAAAAGGCAATATGATGTGACAACAAAAAGAAAATTGAAGAATTATATAATGGATATGAGAATAGAAAAAAAGTGATAAAATAGAAAAGATTAAAATATAGAGAATTAGTGAGACATTTTTACCAAAATTTATAATTCTAAAGATTATAATAACTGCCTTTTATTAGAGGAAGTACTCAGTGTGATAAATCCAGGAAACACAGAAATACAAGGGAAACAATCTGTTTTTTGGTTATTTGTGGGGATATTTTTTAGTAATTAAACTGTGCTTTTAATGAATGGTAATGTGAACATATTTGCTAATATATACCACACTAAGATTTTCATGATATAACAATTATAATATACTTTATATTGATTAATTGGTATGTGAAAGTAGGTATAGTATCTTATGATAAAAATGAAATAATGCAGTCAATACAGTTTCTAATAATATTTTACTTCAATGACTTACTAAAGAATGTCAAAGTTAACTCTAGAATCAAAAGTCCAGTGAATCTGACTACTCTTTTCCCTCATTTTTATTTACATGTCCATTTATAACCACCATTTCTCAAAAAAATCTACTTACTCTATCAAAAATTAATGCTATGAAAAGACTCATCTATTTTTTTTAGTCTCTGAATGATTGATTACAGCATTATGTAAATCTGCTTCTTACAAAATAAATGTCTCGTCTAACAAACCAAGGAAAGGAAGAGCTGTTGCCAGAGAAAAAGGAGGACTTCTTTAAGATTCTTGGTATTTTTTTTATGAAGTCTTTGATGTGGTTTATCATTTGAGAAATGTTAAATTTCTGGACAATCCTTTTCCCATTGGCCAACAAGATCTGTATGTTAGTGATCAGTTTCAGATTGTTTAATAGGACAGCAGACAAATTGCATTTATTCTCAACTCATATACTCTTTGTTTTAGAAACAATTTTTGGTATGACACTTCCCAGTCTGTGACATGCTACTAGTGGGGCTAGAATACCAGCTTGGTTTACATACAAACTTCATTTTTTTCTTATCTTCAGCTTTAACATCCAACTCTTTTTTGTTTAAAAAATCTCCTAAGGTGTAAATTCTCCCTTTTATATATATGGAGATCAGAAACTGCTGGCTTACATCATCAGAATAACTTCTGAAGTCATCATTGACTATTAATCCATTTCTCCATAATTTTATACTTATATCTACCTATTTCTTTTCAGTAGGTGACAAGAATTTGGCACCAACTTTCTGAGCTTTCTCAAAGAGGCTATCCATAAAATATTCATAATTCCTTTGTTGATCACTAACAAGTGGGTTGTCAGATCCTGTTTCACAAACCCACTCTTCTTTCATAGTATCAAGGTTATCTACTTTTTTCATTCTCTTTTGCTTTACTTTCTACCTTTAAAGCCCCTGGTAGAATACCTGGAGAAATTTTCTGCATTCTGACACTTTTGCCTGAGCCCTGTGATCCTATAAGGAAATTTTTAAAAACATCCACTAACCCACTCACTCTCACCCCTCCAGGTGTTCTAGAAAAGGTTTACTGCAAGGAAGCTGTCCTTCATGCTATGACTTATTTAAGATTTACAGAACCTCTCTTGTTTACCTATGACAAGCTTATACAAGTTCTCTGACACATGTTGGTTTTAGATGCCATGAAGCTGGCCTTGGAATAAAAGATGTTTTACCCTTCTGCCTTTACCAGTTCATCCCACATACTCTCACCCAACCTTACTTTCTCTACTAGCTTTGTTCATATTTTCCTATAAAAGAAAATTCCTTTCTGCCTGGCTTTGCAGAAATTTGCAGATCTCTTTGTGTTTTCCTTGAGGCCTGTAACAACATGCTTTGATAATTATTGTGACATAAATTGTTTCTTCCAAAAAGCTATGTTGAAGTCTTCACCTCTATACTTGTAAATGTCATCTTGTTTGGAAAGAAAATATTTGTACATTTAGTGAAGCTAAGTGAGGTCTTATTGGAACAGAGTAAGCTCTAACCAAATGTGGCTGACATCCTTATAAGAAGAAAAATGATATAAGCACAGAGGAAGAACACCTTGTGACGATGGAGATAAATTGGAGTGCTGTAGCTAGAAGTCAAGCAATGCCAAACATTGCCAGCAATATTAGAAACTAAGAGAAAGGTATATAATAAATTCTCCCCTATAGCTTCACAAAGAACATGAGCCTACCAACACCTGATTGCAAACCTCTTTCAGAACTATGAGAGAATAAATTCTTGTTGGTTCAGTTTGTCCAGTTTATGATATTCTATTAGAATTGTTCTGGAGATGCAGTGGTTAAACACTTAATTACTAACTGAAAGAAGTTCAGATCTACCAATGACAAAGAGATTGGAAATCTTGCCATTCCACAGTGGGATTGGCCAGTCTCACCAATTTGTAAGGGGATTGGCTAGTCTTAAAAGTAAATTGAGCAGTCCAGCAACAGATTAGATTTTCCCAACCAGTGAAGAAAAGAAGCAGCAGTAGCAGCAAGAGAATGTAGGACGCCCTTTAGGGCTAGACACCTATAGCAGCAGCACCCAGGGCTGAAGCAGACAACTAGAGAGACCTAACATGAAATGGAGCTGGCTGCTATCCCATCCCCAAGAACAGAAACAGAGCTAATCTAAAAGCCTTTGTCCAAGTTTGTTGGACAATTTGGTGAGGGTGGAGTGGAGTTGGGGTGGGGTTGGAGGAAAGTCAATATTGGCTGGACTGAGAACTTTGTAACACTAGTCTAAAGACATGAGGCTCACAGGGCCCGGAGATGTAGCTCAATGGTAGAGTATGGTGTCTCAGGAGCCACGGATCCCTGGTTCAAGTTTCATTCCAGGTAGGAAGTAGAATCGTGTAAGTTCTGGTACCAGGTAAAGCCATGAGTGTCCATGTGCACATTTTGGAAACTCTCTTGACTGTGTTCTGCAACATATCTGGATCATAACCTTTTGACTTCCCCAACATAGTCTGTGAGCTATTACATCAGATATTGGACCCAGAAAAACAGTAAGATTAGTACTGAGATGAGTAGAAGGAGGTATGAAAACATAGGGGACATGTCTAGCCTCATAGAAATTGTTTTTATGTTTCTGATGCTGTTGACTGGGACAGCAAAAGGTCAGATATGGCCGTTCCCATGTGGTCCTTGCTCTTTTTACAGTAGTACCCGACAACCACAACATGATAACATTATTGTAATCTTAGAAAAGAGAAAAGGGCAAGGAGAAGGTTTATACAAAATATCCTGGAACTAAAATTTTAGGCATTTTCAACTTTAAGTGGTTTTGGAGGAAAGAAAACCAAACCAACAGCCTAATGCAATAATAGATACTATTTTTACCACTGCTTTCATTTTATAACTGAGGAAATCGAGACATTAAACCTCTTGCCTATGGTTATTATATACAGCCAAGATTGTAGTGCAGTAGTCTGACTTCAGAGACTATTAACCACTATTATACTCCCATACTGCACTGTTGCATGTGGCCATTGAGCACTTGAAATGTGGCCAGTCAAAAGTGACACGTGTTATAATGATAAATATGTATTAGATTTGAGTGATGTTGTATCCAAAAAGAAGAAGAAAAAGAAAGTAGATAGATACCTCAATTAGCACATGGCACAACAAAAATATATTTGATATTATCATTAAATAAATACTAAAATTAATTTTATGCCTATTTTCTTTACATGACTTCAAGACATTTCAAAATCATGTAAGTGGCATCTAATGGGCAGTGGTGTTCTAAGGGTACAACAGAATGTGTTTCATGTTATACCAGTATGGTAGTAAAGCAAAGAAAAATAGTTAAATTTTATCCATAGCAGAACAAAGGAGAAAATTAGGAAGAGTCTGCTATCTTCATTCCTGCAAGTGGCTACAAGGTTGGCTTGGTACTTCTAACTTCCTTCTGCTGCCACCATTTCATGCCAATTTCATAGATATAGACACACTCTGTCAAGTCTCTTATCAATACATATGCAATGCTAGTGTATATAGGTCAGAAGGGAAACCACAAAAATGTAGAAATAATGAAGCTCTTTGGTCTAGCTCATTAATACTAACCTCTTCCAAATAAATGTTAAGTGTCTCAGTTCCATATTCAACCTTCTTCACCAGTGGTTGCTGGAGGAGCTAAATAGAAGAGGGGGGAAAATAAGAGTGGTACACAGAGCTAATACCCAAGTAATGGTATTTTCAAGACTCTCATATGCATGTAAAAGTTGAGCAATGAATAAGGAAGACCAAAGAAAGAATTGAAGCTTCTTAGTTATGGTGTTCATGAAGAATACTGGATATGCCACAGACTGTCAAAAAAACAAACAAACAAAATTTGTCTTGGAAGAAGGATAGTCAGAGAGCTTTGGACATGTTATCAGGAAGGGGCTGTTTACTGGATAATGGCATCATGCTTGGAAAAGTAGAGTGTCAGCAAAAGTGAAGACGACCTACAACAAGATAGATTAACAAGTGACAGCAACAACCGGTTTAAGCACAGCAAAGACTGTAGGGAACACACAGGATTGTAAGGCTCATATAGAAAAGGGTTTCATTCTGTTGTGCATGAGGTCTTTATGATGCAGAGCTGACTCGGTGATACCTAAGAACAAGAGCTAGAGTTGTCCTTGTCCCCTTAGGATAATCTTCCAAAACTCTGTGACCATTAAGGAAATAATTTTATACTGTGGGGAAAACAGAGAAAAGGAACCAAGGCAATTACAAGTTCCATTCCATGGGATCAATCCACATTTTAGAAATGGTCATGAATTATGGATATAAACCATTATGCCCATTTCATCAGCTTTTTTTATGATAATAATAGGACCCATAGAGAATAGGCAAAAGAAGAAAACAGAAATAACTTACTACTTGCTTGGTGCCTTCAATCGGACTGAACCCAGATAGCATCTTCACCTCCACAATGGCCATATTGGAAGAGCTACGACTCCCCACGTAACTGAGGAGCCATAAGAACCAAATTTATGTGAGCTTTTTATATAATCTCAGTGTATTTTGCATCCTACACACACACACACACACACACACACACACACACACACATCCCAGTCCAGCTCTTGTGATCCAAGTGCCCCCTCAAACACCCCAGTTTTCTGTTATTCCCATTCCTCACCTTGTTTGTATAGTAAGAGTTAAAGTCTGAGGTAAAGTACGTTGGTCACATTTAGTTCTTCCCATTTCTATGCTAAGACTAAAGGTTTCCATATTTTTAGGAGGGATAATGTTGTATCTCAGCACCGTCTGATAAGGGGAAGTAGATAACCAGTATTAGGATAGTGTTGGGAGAGCTAGATAGTGATTGTACCAGATTCCACCTAAAACAAAGATCACCCTCAGACTTTGCTTACCTGCACATAGATACAGCCCTGGCCAGAGGCTTCCAAAGCATACATCCCAGGGATATTAGGTAAAGTCTCCTGCTGAAATATCAACCGATTGACAGTCTTCACATTGAAAGTATGCTGGAAATTCTGAGTAGATTTCACAGTCAGCTTGACCTCCTCAGATGGTACATAAGCAGTGGTGGCATATTTGGCAAGAGCTTGGAGAGCAACTACAGTATCCTAAAGAAGAAAAACAAAACAAGCATATGCTTACCATTTTGTTAACCACTGGAACTAACCTCAAACAACCCTGTAAAACCCATACATCTGGTTGTTGTTAGTTGGCTGGGACGATGCACCTTCTAAGTATCTGGAGAAATACATTCGGTTCCCCTCAAGAAATTGACAAAGAAATAAAAGCATATTTTATTATATAGAAAATCACCCTCACCAAGTTATTATTGGATAACCATAGTCCATCTGACTAATTTAACATATTCATATTCAGAAATCATACCTAGTTTCAGAACAGGCTACTCTTTTGCTAGAAACAAATAGATAACTAACTGCAATTATTTATTTCATAGCTTTTTCATTTAGGAAGGAAATGGCAGTAAATTGATAGTCATGGAAATTGGATATCTATGACATTATTTAACTGCATCATAATCTATGCCAATTACAGCCTGTCACTATGAGTATAGCATCACACAATTTTAATATTTTATTTGTAAAGTATTATTTGCATAAATTATAACTAGAGGAGAGAAAAAATAAATTAGTTGAGAAAAACTATCCTAACTTGTTCTGTATTGTGAGACTGTCTCCACACTAGACATTTTGTAAAATAATTATTTTGGAAGGAAAGAACTCCACTCCTTGTATCCCAAATGAAAAAGAACAATTGTATTTTGATACAATCACTGACATTTAAAATAGGAAGAGCAGTCATCCACCTTGGGCAAGCTGTGAACAAGTTAAATCTATGTAGCATGATCTTCTGTAAGCATTTTTTGTCTAGCCTTCATGAGATGTAATCAGAAGGTCTTTATTGCTTGTACATATGGAAACAATTCATTAGAGTGGACCTTACCATTAACTGAAAAGCTAAAGGGCAATATGTGATAAATCATCTCTTTAATAGTCAATGATTTTTATTAATAAGTAACTGTGACATCTGTAATGAGGATCCACCACTGCTTTCTAAAAATATTCTTTATGGATTTTAATGATTTAAGATGCAATAAGAAGGAAGTCTCTCCCGATCTTTGGTCAAGAAATTTCTGAAATAAGGAGACATTATAGCATATAATTTTTTAAAGTTTCTAATAAATAATTCTCATATTTAAACTTAGTATTTTTAATACCTTTACCAGATATCCTGACTTCTGAATGAGTCAGAATATAAGCTCTGTGAAGATAAGAAATAAGGTCTCAAAAAAAAAAAAGGAAAGAATACGGTCTCTTGTTTACTTCTGTATCTGCATCAATTTAGTGCTATTTTATATGCTCTACTTACATGTAAAGCACAGATTGCATAATGCTTCATACTTTACAAAGAAAGAGCATTCAATAGAGCTGGTACCATTTATATTGCTCATATGATTCCATTTTATGAATCTTTCTGTATATTTTTCACATGCTATTTCTAGCTCTAGAATTCTAAGATCCTCGGCCTAGAGGATAAGAATATTATCTTTTCCTCTATCTCAACATAGAATCTAAGCCTATCTGAGAAGTAGCAGTGAGGAGCATAAGCTATTTACCTGTGTGGAAGAGAAGCCCCCAAAGGCATTACGCTGTTTGGCCAACCAAGCCACTATACTGGTGGCTTTGGCTATCTCCTCTTGAGTGAGGCTGGCCTTCGTAAGTTGGGCCAACAGTACATATGCTGTACATTCCACATCTACAGCCTCAGGCTTAGACCAAAAGCCAGCATCTGAGGACCGAGTAGGTTGATAGCTCCAGTGAACAGACTCTCCTAAGGAGAAAGAATAACGACAAGGACCTGATTTTCCCATATTCATTTTGCAAGTAGAAGTATAATTCAAGAATTAACCATGGGCAAAAAACAATTAAAAAAATAAAAAGAAAAACCGAAACAACAGTTACTTAGAATTAGCTTATTGTCCTTTATGCATATAATGGATACAGGTGTGTATATGCACCAACAGCCACACATAAATCCCCAAAGCTTGGTTTAGCTGCGAATTTTCCAATCTTCAAAAATTACAAGAGAGCTATCCTTATTAATTAATAAATTTAGACCAGAGCAGAAATAGGAAAATAGAAACATCTTAAAATAATCTCATGTGTATGGTAATTTCCTTGGCTTAAAGAATTTTGTTAATATTTCAGTATTTATTTTACTCAATTAAGGGTTAAACATTTTTAGAAGAATAAAAATGCCAGAACATGTAAATGAACTCTAAGAAACCATAGAAGAAATATTAGAGTAAGGTAAGGAAATGTTAGAAGGTGAACAAATTGAATATGAGACCAAAATTTGAGGCCAATTTTGACAGATAACGGTAAGAAAAGTAAATAGAAATAAGCAGAAATAGAAATAAACATTTATTTAAGCATAAGTATCAAAAACTAAAAACCATAGGAGGCAATCTAATCAGAATAGCTTAAGAAGACACACGTGAACAAGATACTGGAAAAATTATAGTCACATCAAACCAGTAATCAGTGGTGAGGATATACATACTCCATACGTTGTCGGAGGTGCCCATTTTATGACTAGAGTTGCTTTTATATTAGGGGTAAAAATTTTTTAGAGCCCATTTGAAAGGGGAATCCAACAAAATATTCATATAAATAAAAATTTCTTAGGAATAAAATTTAAAACATATAGCCAGGTAAATAAGATGCATTGATGTTTTATTTATAAGATATGCTAGAATGTAAAAGATTACTCTAAATATTCCCAAAAGGTTTCAAGGAACCTTAAAAAAATCTGTAAGTTTCATCCCATCTTAAGATATGATCTTAGAGATTTCAAAGCCCCACAGATTGTTGTCAAGTTGATTCCAACTCTTAGAAACTCCATGTGTGTCAGAGTACCACTGTGCTTCTTTCAATGCCTGATTTTTTTGCTCATAGAAGGCCTGTCTTCATATTTTCTTTTAAAAAACATTTTATTGTTCTTTAGGTGAAAGTTTACATATAAATGTTATTTTCCTAGTCAACAGTTCATACAGAAATTTTTCTGTGACATTGATGCAATGTGTCCATCTGCTCCCAATTTCCTCCTTCAGTTTCTCCTATCCAGTTATCCCATTTTCTTATCCCTCTCTGTCTTTTCACCTCTCTTTTTGGATAAATGGACAAATGTCTTTTTTTTTTCTTCTTGTATAGTTCATTGTTCTGAGGAACACATTTTTCACATTGCTTTATAGACCCATATGTTATTTGGCTAGATGGGTCAAATTACTGCTCTGGGAATATCTTCCATTTCAAGTTAGAAAGTTCTTGAAGTTTCTCTAGTCTTTTGCCAACCCTTAGCTCCAGTCTTATTTTGAGTGAGGTGTGTGGTTGGCTTTAAATTTTGTTCTACCTTTTTCTTAAAACCCATTCTTACTGAGACCTTCTGTTGGGATTTTAGAGCGGTCAGTAGTGATAGCTGGGTACCATGTAGCTCTTCTGGTTTTAGGTTAGAGGAGGTTGTGGTTCATGTGGACCATGAGTCCTTTGGAATAACTGCTTCATTGAGTTTTCATTTTCCTTTGTTCTATACCCCAGGGAGGAAGAGACAAATAACTGCTTCTTAGATGACTGTTTGCAAACTTTTAAGAGCCACATGCTACTCACTAGGCTAGGATATAGAACATTAACTTTTTCTTTCTCATGGTGTATATTGCCTTTCCCTTCACTCAACTTATTTATTAATTTTTGCTCCCCTCTCCCTCCCTTCTCATCCCTGTTAACCCTGTGTATAAACCTTTCATGAGCGTTTTATATTCATGATCTGATGTCATAGTTATGTAGCTGACTTATTTCACTTAGCATAATTTAGGTTTTTGGAGATTTTTTTAGCATAATTTATGTTAAGTACATCCATGTTGAATTCATGTTACAAGTTCTTGATCCATTTTCAGTGATTCCTAATATTCTTTGTGTGAATGTACTGTAGTTTCTTTAGCCATTCGCCAATTTATGGCACTTGGGTTATTTCGAACTCTTGGCCATTGTAAATAATTCTGCTATGAACACGGTGTGGCTTTACCAGTTTGTGCTGCCATTCTTATTTCCTTGGGACATACCTACCGCTAGAATCTTGATAAATTGATATTTCTATTTCCAACTTACTAAGGCACACTACCTTTATGAAGTGTTTTGCCAATTGACCTAAATCCCTTCCAACAGACCTTCCTTCTGAAGTACCTCTGGAAGAACTCAAACCTCCAGCCTTTTGGTTAGCAGCTGACTGTGCTAACCATTTTAACACCTTGGTATTGGAAAGAGTTTCAAAAGTCCTCTCAAAAAGTGGCAAGAAGCTTCACTGCCATCCCAGAGGTGTGCAGTTCGAACCCACTAGATGCTGTGCTGGAGAAGGAGGGACAATCTCCTCCTGTACCAGTCAGATCTGGTTTGACGGTACACACACGCTGTTTGTAATAATAATAATGATAAATGTGACTCTACTGCAATCCAAATATATTTTATAACTATCTTCTACCACTTTGTTTCTCATGTTAAAGTTATCCACCAGTGGGGACTTGCATGAACTTTCCTTCAAAGTTCTCAATGATGATTTTTATGACTTACCAAATTCTACCACAATGAATATTGACTTGAAAATATGTGGAACTAAGGAGATGAAGAGAAATTACACATAAAACATAGCATACTTTTTACAATTTCTGAAGGACTTCTAATATGATTAACATACCTGAGATGATAGCCTGTTGATCTAATTTTTTGAGAAGATTGTTCCTGATGTCCATTTCCTTAGCCAAGGAGAAAGTATAAGCTAGGAGAGCCTGCGTATAAAGATTGGTTGTGGAGGTAACAGAATTCTTGAGACACTGCAGACCTTGACTCACCATTGAGTCCTGAAAAGTGAAGATGAATAAGCACATATAGGTATGAAGAAGGTATAAAACAGAAATAGAAAAATCATAATAATAACTTTCTCCTGATTAAAAGATGAATTGAACAAATAGAGGAAAGTTTCTCTAGGAACAGGTATAACAAGAGAAACTATAAAAACTCACATCTCTGGTCTTTCCCATCTCCAGCAATGCAGCTGTGATGTATGCAGTCAATGAGATCTCATCATCAACACCACCCTAGAAGGAATCAAGGAAGTGGAAGTCAGGACAAAAAAGGCTCACTCTTTGAGTAAATGAATCTTTTTAAAAAGTGACTCTTTCCATAGGTTAGATGCTGCCACAACTCACCAGCACTAAAGGTGGAAATTTAGTATGTGTACAGCCTTGTATAGTAGCCTATAATAGAGTTTAATTCTGAGTAGGTACTTAGGGAACCTAAGAGAAGTGGTTTGTAAAGATGAGGAGTAAACAAAAGGAAACAGAATATCTCTATCAGGTCATTCAAACTAGCGATCTTCAAATGGACCTCTCTGTAGGGAACACAGGCTCAAGTTCTTCTCCAGGGAGAAATTCGACAAACAAACCCTTCTGTACTTAATATTTTCCACATAAAGATCTTTACAAGTTTTAAAAATACCTAAATTATGGCCCTCATTTTACTGCTGGCAAAATACAATTTTTTTAAAAAAGACTGTGTTCAAAATTACCTAACAAGTATGGAGTAGGACTGGGATTTGAATTTAAGGATTGAACTCTGGAACTTAAGCACTAAACACTAAGTTTGACTACACCACAAAGGGGCAGGAAAAACTTCCAGGAGTTTGTTCTTGACAAGTTTTGTTCTAGTCTACTTCACAGTGTCTAGGGAAGAGTATTCTTTAGGGCATATAGGAGAAAATCTACGTAAGAAATATTATTGTTGGTAGGTGCCTTTGACTTTGTTATGATACATAGTGACTTTATACATACTGGGAGAAAATGCTACTTGGTTCTATGCCATCTTCATAGTCATTGCTATGGTCAAGCCCATTGTTGTAGTCACTGTGTCAGTCTATCTCATTTGGGTCTTCTACTTTTTTACTGGCCCTCTGTTCTACCAAGTATGATACTTTTCAGGGCCTAGTCCCTCTCGATAACATGTCTAAAGTAAGAAACATTAAGTTTTATCATCCTTGCTTCTTAGGCGCATCCTACCTGTACTTTTTCTTCAGTTAGACATCAGATTATCATTAGTCAGAGCCATCTAAATACCAATTAAGAGCAAGTGGCCATGTAGTGAAGGGATGAGAGTTGTGCTCATGGAGTCATGGTTCAAATTGTAGTTCTATTATTCATTAGCAGTACCCTTGAAATTTAGACATTTATTCTCAGTGTTTTGGTTTTACTTCTGCCAAATGAAATTAATAATGTGATACTGATTTATTATAAGCAGTTGTGGGGATATAATAATAATATTAATATTAATAATAATAAATTTAATAATTATATAGTGGTTAGAACAGTTCCTGACACAGAGGAAATCCCTATAAGTTAGCTTTATCATAGGTAGCATTATAAAAGACTGGTCTATTCATCTCCACAAGAGAAAATAGTTTATTCAGATTACACTCCAGATTTGGGGAGATGATAAAAAGCCAAGAGAGCTTCTCACCCACTAGTTTCCCAATCTCAGCAAGCATCAGCATCTGTGAGGCTTGTTAGAACACAGGTTTCTTGCCCATACCCCCAGAGCTTCTCACTGATTAGATCAGAGTGGGGCTATCATTTCAAACAACTTCCCAGATGATGTTCATGCCGCCGACCTGGGATATCATACTTTGAGATCCAAGTTCTAATCCATATTCTCATTTCACAGATGTGGACATTGTAGCTGAGATGGTAAAGTACAATGGTCAAGGCCCCTCAGGGACAGAACTGAGATTTGAAGAACACTGATGCCCAGATCACAGTTTGAGGGACACTATGCAGTTGGGGAGGCAAATGACTTTCAGACATAGTAAGACGTCTACAGGGCCATGGTCAGCCCCTCACCTTCATAGACGTGTGTAAGAGCTTTCCTACGTTGGCATAGCATCCGCTAGGGAGCTGGTTTCCTGCCACCCACTTGAGAGCATCCTGGATGTTCTTGTCATCAATGAAGATGAATTTCTGAGCCTGGGCAAAGCATTTGGTGACAAAGGCTGTCAACCTATATGGACGAAGAAGGAAAAGGCTTGGAGGAGACTTCCTGGTGGGTACAAAGGTTCTATAGCTTATTACAGTGTAGAGTTAAAGAAGAAGAGTTGAGAAAATATAATGCCAGAAGATGCATAGAAAAAGGACATTTTAATAGGCATTAGTGGAGACAAAAACTAGAGAAAGAAGAGGGACTCAATCATATGAGAGACTGAAAGAGGCCATACTAGGAGTGTGGAGAGCAAGTTCAAGTGGTTTAGTGGATGAGTAGTGACACTGCTAAACCTAATGGAGGCAGTTTGAATTCACCAACCACTCCATGGGAGAGAGATGGGAAATCTCTTCCAGTGCCATTTACAGCCTCTGAAAAGTCTCTGGAAGATCAGCTAGGAGTTGGTTCCAACAGTATATAACAAAAACATGTGAAAGCTGGAGAACTGAGTTTAAGAAGGAATGGGGTTAAAGGGAGAGGGGGGAAGAATTCTAGATGGTTTAGAGATTGTGTTCTGGTATATCAGGAGGACTCATCTGGAAATAGTCAATATTACCATGTGTTTCCATTTTCATCCTGCTCCCCAAAGGCACTGTATGAACCATTACTGTGTTTGTACGTCAGCTCTGTCTGGTACCCTGGAAAGCCAGATGTGGTTTTTAGATCACAGTGACAACTTCAAAACACATTCCCACGCCCTTATTCCCTTCAAGAATCTGAACATTGTAGGATATCTCTCTCTCTCTCTCTCTTTCTCTCCCTCTCTCTCTCTCTCTCCCAACTTACCTTTCTCCAGGAAACCTACTGCCCGGGACTTGATTTCCTCAGTCAGCAGCCCTGCCTTCTCCAGGTACTGCAAAACATAGATGATGGGGGCAAACATGACCATATTCTGTTCCCCACAGCCACTTGGCATCTGCACCAGATTGTCTAGGTTTTGCAGAGCTGTGCCCATAATGTCCCCTAGGATCCAAGGTGGGGGGAGGGGAGAAAGAGAGAGAAATAGAGAAAAGGAAAAAAATCATTAAGATTTTTTTTTTAAATCATTCATTCAACAAGCATGTATTTTAGCTATCCAAGAATGTTGTCTTTTTCCCATGGACTAGGCCTTCACAAAACATGTCAAAAGTATATGAGACAATATATAGAGATCTCTGGTAGTTTAGTGGTAAGAAATTTCATTGCCAAGCCAAAGGTACATGGTTTGAATACACCAGCTCCTATGTGTGGGAAAGATGGGCACACTTCTTCTCTGATATTTTAAAACCTCTGACTCTGAAAACTCACTGGAGAATCAGTTCAAAATAACAAGCTCGGAGATAAATTCATCATACCGGGAAAGGGTGGTGGGTCAGAGAAAGAAAGGAAGACCCTCAACAAGATGGATTAACACATATAAAAATTAGCTTAACCATGGCAGAAATTGTGAGGTTAGTGACAGATAGGCCAAGTCATTCATAGAGTTGCTAGGAGTCATCTTGACATCCTATAAAAAACAACAAAACTGACTGTACAACTCAGACTCCATTACTCAGAAAATTACCACCTAAGGGAATATTTCAGATGTGTCGCTGAAACTGATGAATGATATAATAAAAGCTGGAAGATTTATGTGTAAGTACTTCACTACATAGAAAAATATCACTTTCCAAATCACCAAATTCCTTCCAAATATGCACAGTCCTAATATCATTTACAAGTTATGTTTATAGCCCTTTCCAATCAATTTATAAGCCAGTAAACCTAACATAAGCAATTCAGTGATATCTGCATTTCAGTCATTAAGAAAAAAGGAAGAAAGAACAAAAAAATGAATAAATGAATTAAAGAACCTAACATTTTTAAATCTCCTGCTAAGGTACTCTAATGGCTGAGTGGGAAGACTTTGTGCTGTCAACCCAAAGGCAAGTGGTTCAAATCTACCAGTTTCTTTATGGTATAAAGATGAGCAATCTCCTCCCATGTGATTTACAGCCTCTGAAAACCAGTTGTGACCTTTTTACAACACCATGGCACATAACAACAACTAGATATTGTGCGGAGCACATATTCAATTTTCACACTAATTCTGAGAGCTAGATTATTATCAAATCTTACAGAAGGAGGAAAAAGGATCAGAATTGTTAAATAACAGGCCCATAAAGTGAACATTATCACCCATGAAGATCATACTCTTTAAACAACCAACTACACAAGAACAGAAAGGCAGCATTTACCCAAGAATAAAGGTCAGAAGGCAGAAGGAGTAAGAAGTATGATTGGAAATAGGGAGCCCTAGGAAAAAGAAAAATAGTTGTTACGTTGAGTGGATTATGTATATAACTTATTGAATGGGAAAGTAATATACTCCATAAACTTTCACCCAAACCACAATAAAAGGGGAAAAAATTATCTATTAAATAATCTGCTCAGTGTTACTGGCTAGAAATAGTAAAGCTGGGTCCGTAATCCAGTTTAATATGAATTTCAATTATATACTTTTCTATTCACTCTCTTCTTTGTGCACAGTCGTTAAATAGCCTGCCTATCTAAACATAGTTATATCTTCCTTAAACTTAAAATACTTAAAAAATGGAAGTTTCTACTTTTAAAAATAGCTTCTGCAAATCTTTGGTATTGTCCAATTTCTAGACCACCTAAACCTAAATATACATCAAACTTTGTTGTTACGTGCCATTGAGTCGACTCTGACTCATAGCAACCCTATGTACAACAGCTCTGAACCCTGCTCTATCTTAAGTCAATTTTATTGTTTTATTATTGTTATAAAAGCTTTGTTGTTGTTACTGTTATGCGCCATCGAGTAGCTTGCAACTGATAATGACCCCCTGTACAACAGCCCTAAACCCTGCTCTATCCTGTGCCAATCTCATTGTCTTTGACACGCCTATCCCCATTACACCAGTCACGGAATCAGTCCATCTCATCAAGGGTCTTCCTCTCCTGCACTGTACCTCCACCCTCCCAAGCATGATGTCCCTCTCCAAGGACTGGTCTCTCCTTGTAACTTGTCCAAAGTATGTCAAACGAAGCTTCAGAATCCTTGCCTCCAAGGAGCAGTCTGGCTTCACCCTCACCAGGACAAACCTGTTTGTTCTTTAAGAAGTCTATGATATCTTCAATACTCTTTTCCAACACCACAGCTCAGAGGCATCAATTCTTCTTCTATTATCCCTAGTCATTGTCCAGCTTTCTGATGCATAACAAGTAATTGCAAAGACTATGGCCTGGACCAGGTGCACCTTAGTCTCCAGATTGACATTGTTGCTCTTCAGTACTTCAGAGGGGTCTCTAACCACAGACTTTTCCATCATAGTACACCTTTTAATTTCCTGGCTGCTCATTGTGGAGCCAAGCAAGCTAAAGCTGTGAATAATCTCAGTCTCTTCACCATACATCCTGATGCTGCCAGTTGGCCCAGTGGTGAGACTCTTTGTTTTCTTGATATTGAGCCTCAATCCATACTGAAGGTTGTAGTCCCTGACCTTCCACAGCAAATACTTCAGGTCTTCCTCAGTTTCAGCAAGCAGGGTTGTATCATCTGCATAATACAGATTGTTGATGAGTCTTCCACAACCAAACAGGTACCCTGACCTAGAAGTTCATGCACGGATCAAGGCCCAGTCTGTAATCCTTGGGCAAGGCTGGGAGGCAGAGCACTACATGGGAAAGAAGTTCAGGGAGAGCAAGGAGGCACAGGAGCCGGGGAATCAGCTTCCCCACCACCACCAAACAGTCCCCCTGACCCAGAAGCCCACGCGCAGATCAAGGCAGAGTCTGCATCAAACTTTAATTAACTTTAATTTCTTCCTGCCTAGACTGTTTCCTATATTTAACTACTCATTCACTTGCTCAATGCTATCCTGTAGTTTCTAACTAATGGTGACCCTCTATCACGTTTCTGGGGGAGCTCTGGTGGCCTAAGGTGATAAGGAGTTGCACTGCTATGCAAAAACACATGCTTCATACCAGCCGCCTTGCAGGAGAAAGATGGACAATCTCCTCTCATGCAATATATAGCTTCTGAAAACCCTTTAGAGGATCAGTTACGAGTCATTCCACCTTGAAAGCACACAACAACGATATCAGGTTTCTGACATTAAATCAATGGAAGGAAAGGGTCACATTTTACCCGTGGAACTGTTAGTGGATTTGAATCACTGAACACGTGGTTAGCATTGGGACTTTTGGTTAGCAGTACAATTCACTATGGACTATACCACCAAAGCTTTCTGTGTTTAACGATGTTGTTGTTGAGTACCATCGAGTCAGAAGTGACCCATAGCTGACCCTCCAGTGGGACTATACATCTAATACCATTTTCACTGTTACCTATGTTTTATATTTCCCCACAATATAAAAGAAATTCTTCTTTCATTGCTTGAAATCTACTGTAACTTTATGCCAAAACCACTTCACACTTCAGCAGCGTCGGTCTTAATTGATTCTTGCTGGTCTCTCACTCCTTACCCAGAACAGTAATATATGCCTTGGTTGAATCAGGGACAACATCAACAGGAAGCTCCAGGGAGATGGATTCTGAAACCACCTTTCCTGTGAGAAAATGGAAACAAAAATAATGGGTTTTCTAGGTTCCAAAACACAGAACAACTTCCCATATTCCAGAGCTTTCTGTGATATGGAGGCAGATTGGTCTTACCTATTCATAGATATCTTTGTTGAAAAGAAATTTCAAAGAGAGTTACAGTTCTCCTGTGAGTTTTCTCTTCTTCATCTTCCGTGTTACTTAACTGGCCCCATGAGAGATGGCACCCCAATGCTCCCTCATCCTTCCATATTCCATACACTCTTACTTTTGCCTGTAAGAATCTCCTGGTACCTAAGAGTCTCACCACCAACATCGTCCAACTCAACTCACCTTTTGGGCACAGAAGTGAGCTGTGAGTTTTCTCCACAAGGACTCCTTCAGGCTGCCACGAAGAGACATAAAACCCAAGTGAAAACAGCAAAGATGAATGTCACAGCAAGGGGAAATTAGGGAATAGAAAGGGAAAAGGAAATGGAGGAAAGAAATTATTCCCCCAGAGCTATATTTTCAACCTAGGGATGGACTTCTCAGTAAAACTTTTTCTGAGCTAGGAAACCTGGAGGAAGAAAGATTAATAATGGTGATCATATTGGATTTTTTTTAAAAATGAGTTAATGATGAAGTTAAGGATTTTAAAAAGTGAAACAAACATTCCTTGAGTGTCTATAATATGTCAGGCACTATGGTAGTCACTTTCATAAACCATAGGTAAGGGCTAAGCAAGTGGTTAAGGGTAGAAGCAGCCAGCAAAGAAGAAAGTCATTACCTAATTAGAGTTGGAAGACTGTTGTGAGAGACTAATGGGTTAGAAACTGCAAATGGTGGATTGGTTCCTATGTCTATGTCAGAAGTAAGACCTGTAGAAAACTCACCTTGACCAGAACTGGCTTGATGAGTGTATCGCTTCGGCCCTTGTCTGGAACAAACCCCTTCTTCCCTCCACAGAGTTCATTGCTGTCCAGAATCTCTGTACTAATTGTAAAGTTTATATGTCCTGAGGCAAGAGAGGAGGAAAGGACGTATTAGCTGTATCACCAAAAATACCAACGGAGTCTTTTCTATTCTGGACTAGTGTTTCTAACACTTAAGACAGGAAGCAACCCAACTCATGGTGACTCAATGAGATTTCTCCCACTTGCCTTGCCCACCTCCCACTTCCTTCTCTTACCCAGTTTGAGAGCTGTGATATTCCAGTGATGGGTTTTTGCTTCATCAGCACAGAGACAACTGGAGGCCTGAGAATCTGCCTGTGATTGCACCTGGTATTCGTTTGATTTAGCTAGGTTGGTTTGAACCTGAAGACAATGTTTAAGAGACTGGTATGAGCAAAGTTGATCACAGAGGCTCAAGGAAATGCAAGGATGGTTTCCGATGACTTTTCTGAGAAAAATCAAGACTGTTCTAATTAAACAGCTTGTGGGGAGGGGGCTGTGGTTCTAGTGCTGTGCCCTGTACTCCCAGCTCTCACCCTGATGCAGTCCTTTAGATAATTGAAGATGGTGGCAGTAAGACGAAAGGATTCTCCACGAACTACTGAGTAAGGGAGAGTCAGATCAACAAAAAATGGCTTGAAGGCAGTTAATCCAACTGTGGGTGAGAGACCAAAGCTTCTGGATTGGGAGATGCAGAAAGACATGGCCTTCCACTCAGTGATGGTATCAGGAACTGTGACATGGACAGCCTCCTTTCCAGAGTTCCTGTGGGATCACAAAAACCCAAGCAAGGTGGAGAGAGATGAGGACAGGCAGGACATCTGTGAATTATGTCATAAAGTTCACCTGTAGAAATATTACTTTCCTCATTTATTTTTTTTATTGTTGGAAATACATAGGCAATAACAAGACATTTGTCATTTTATAATCTTCACCTGTACATTAATTAGGTCGCAAGCGACTCGACAGCACATAACAACAACAACAACAACATTAATTAGGTACTCAGTGACATTAATTATGTTCATCATGTTGCTTAAGCATCACCATTAATTATCTCCATTTTTTTCCACTCTCCTTAACAGAACCTCAGTGTCCTCTATGTATTATGTCTTTCTTCCACCTTCCTTCCCAACCACCCCTGGGTAACTACTAATAAAATCTGGTCTCTGGACACCAGTCCATTCTAGATATTTCATCAAAAGGGATTCATACAATATTTATCCTTTTGTGACTGAATTACTTCAAAAGTTAATTTGTTGTGTGGAAAAAAGTGAAAAGGAAACCTAACTGCAGCAATCAGTGAGTTTTAGTGTGTGGATCTTGAGAACGTAAAATTATGGGGACATGGAGTGATGGAGTAAATGTGGGAAGGAGAAAGTGTGTGGGGTGGGGTAAGGGATGGGAGTGGGGTTGCATGTAAATCACATCTGAAAGAGAACTTAATGCCCTCTGAACATACTGTGTCCACTGTGAGAATGTTCATTTATTGTGGTAAATATACATATATTTGACAAATATAAATGTTACAAACATAAGATAGATGATAGATAGGTAGATAGATAGATAGATAGATAGATAGATAGATAGATAGATAGATAGATAGATAGAAAGATAAACATTTTCTAAATCATTTTTTCATATGTACAATTTAGTGACATTGATTACATGCATCATGTTATTCAACCATCACCATTAACAATTCTCAAATTCTTCTACCACTTAACAAAAAGTTCAGGGTCTGTTAAGCAAAGAATCCCCTTTCTGCCTCAATCCTGCCCCTTGTAACTACCAATAAATTAGTCTCTATACATTTGCTATTACAAATTTTACATAAATATAATCACACGACATTTGGTTTTTTGTATAATGTTTTCAAGCCCCATCTATGTGGTAACATGTACCAGGACCTCATGTCGCTTTATGGCTAAGTGATGTCCCACTGTGGTATGTACCACATTTTATCCATTCACATGTCGATGGACATCTGGGTTGTTTCCACTTTTTGGCTATAGTAAGTGAGGCTGAAATGAACATTGATGGAGAAGAATCTATTTACATTCTTACTTTCAATTCTTTTGGGTGTGTGCCCAGGAGTGAAATTACTGGACCATATGGCAATTTTATGTTTAATTCTTTGAGGAACTGCCAAACTGTTTTCCACAATTGTTGCATCATTTTATAAACTTACTAAAAATAGCTAGGGATTTCAATTTATTCATGTTTGTCAATACTTTTCTTTCTTTTTCCTTTTTTCCTTTCTTCTGCCCTACCAATAACAGCCATTTTAGTGATTGTGAAGTGTGGATTTGTTTTAAATGACTGTCTCTAACAGTATAAAAATGCAGGGAAGACTTACTGTGTTTATTGTGGCTTTGATTACAATAGCAAAGAGTTAGAAACAACCCAATTGCCCATCAACAAACTAATGGATAGAGAAGTTGTGGTATATTCACGCAATGAAATACTATGCTGCATTGAAAAACAAGGAACTCAAGAAATATTATACAAAATGGGTGACCCTGGAGGACATTATGCTATAAGTGAAATATCTCAGTCCCAAAAAAGACAAATACTGAATAATGCCATTGTTATAAAAGCGGACTGACATAAGGGTTGGGGGAGAATGAAAAAGAGGGGATAAATAATGTATACTGCACTGAAACAGATAAAGGAGATAACTGTTTAAAAGGGATATATCATTAGGTATTATTGTCATGACAGAAGTCCAGAATGAAGGCAGCATAGTGAAGTGGACTTGGGGTAAGGGATTGTATAACAATGAAAAAATTTTTCTTTTACTTTTCAAAGTAAAGAACAAATTGGGGGTGGGGAGGAGTGGGCAGGGAGAAAAGTGCAATGACGAATGACTGAAAATCTAATGTTTCTGTAAACTTTCATTAAAATTAATTTTAAAAATGAATTAAAATTTTCAGGGAAGAAAAGAATCCTCACACTGCATTTAACTTCCTGTCTTGGAACTTGGATTCATTAGAAATGATCTGATTCTGAGTTCTCTCATGACTCCGCATAGTATAATGGTGCTGTGCATTCAAGGTACCACTTACCCAATAGGAAAGAGATCCCATATCCAAGTCTCTGGGAAGTACTGACGGACTTGCGAGTCCCCTGACTGAAGTGGTGAAGACAATGGTGAAAAACCCTCATGACGAGTAGTTTCACTTGCTGAAGAAATCAAGAGAAAAAGTCTTTTGGGAAAGAGATCTCAATTCTGGGATGAATAGAGATAGAAAGACCATTAACAAGAATGTCAGAGGAACATGGGTTCTACAGGTAACATGGAAGAAGAACTACTGAGTGGCAAAAGCCACTGTGGAAGTGAAGGAGAAGACTGGCCAGGAAAAGAATAGATAAGGGCTTCAAGCTTCAGAAACCCTCCTCAGAGAGAGACCTTTGGAAATCAACCTGACTCTGTGACCCATAATCCATTATCATCCTAAACTTACAGGTTCACTGTAAGAAACATGAGAGAATTTTCAGAGCTCTATGACTTCAATATCTCAGTGAATACATAAACCATAGATGTAGCTTACCTCCATTCAATGCAGTGGCGTATTTTGGAGAGCCACGACTGCAATCAACTGGCTTCTTGATCTTGGCATTAGACAGTATTTTCAGGCCCACCCCCTGATAACAGAAAGTAAAACGTCATGTGGTCTCCTCTTCTACCATGAAAGCTAACACCATCCCACCATCAAAACATTGATCTGAGAAAAAAAATTTTCTTATTAATAGTAAGACTAGTAGGTATTAGCACTCAGCCTCCAAGATTTTGTTCACTTCCAGCTAGGCTTTCAATTAAACTTATTTCATTAAATAACCATTAATTTTTCTTCCAAATACTTTTCTTTGCATCCTTATTGTTTGGCTTACTCTGAAGTTTCCGAGGGCAGGGACCATATCAGCTAATTCAATTCAAAAGAAACATATTCAGCATTAGGAATAGTCAGTCATTAGTGATACCATAAAGATGAACAAGACACAATCCTTGACTTTACAGACTTCCTGGTCCCTAACATCTGCTCATAAAAAAGGTACAAAGTATTTTTACAAGAATAAGAGGCTTCTTATCTATCTTCTTCCCCCCCCCCTTTTTTTAATTTTTCCTTAACTGATGTCATGAAAATTATGGGATCAGAAACATAGGTTATGGCATCCCAGAGCAAGGGGTGGGGGTGGGAATGGGGGGAGGAGCTAGGTTTGTAGTGTCTCACAAGGCTTTTTTCTTCAACAAAATTGAGCAGCTTCTTAAAGAAGCACAAGAACCAAGAGAGGCTACCTTATATGTCAGGAGCATCTTTTAAGAATTAGTTCTTGTCAATGCCTACAAGTATCTCTGCTTTAAGTATGGGCTTTCTTTTCCTTCATTGTCTCTGTAAGAACACTCTGAGTACCTGGAAAAAGCTGAAAAGGTCAACATCTTGAGAGAACCAGGGTCTCCTGATAATAGAATGCTTGCTCCAACGAGCTTCAGGCACAGGGTCAATGAGGGGTTGAGGGAAGTCCCATGGACCAGATGCTGGACATTCATCATATTCAGCAACCTGATATGGGTAGTAACCATACCAGAATGGGAACATCCCATAGACCTGAGATGAGAGGAGAGAAAAAAAAATACAATTTTTATATACCATGAAATCAGTGGGCAAAACATCTCTTAGATTCTAATGCCACAGTCCGCTATTCTGTATTACCTGTCTTCATTACTTGAATGTCCTTCCTCTATTTATTCTACCAAAGCTACCTTCCCTACCTCTTAAATTTTAACTGCCACTTTGCTTTTCTTCATGGTCTTTCATTTTTATTGTTGTCGTCGTTATGTGCCATTGAGTCATTTGCGATATAGTACAAGAGCCATAAACGCCGTTCTATCCTGTGCCAACCTTACTGTCTCAACCACATTCATTCCCACCACTCCATTCACAGAATCGATCTATCTCATCAAGGGTCTTCCTCTCCTGTGCTGTCCCTCCACTCTCCCAAACATGATGTCCCTCTCCAAGGACCAGTCCCTCCTTGCAACATGCCCCAAGTATGTCAGACGAAGCTTCAGAATCCTTGACTCCAGGGAACATTCTGGCTTCACCATCTCCAGGACAAAACTGTTTATTCTCCTAGCAGTCTGTGGTATATTCAACACTCTCCTCCAGCACCACAACTCAAAGGCATCAATTCTCTTTCTATCATCCCTATTAACTATCCAACTCTTCAATGCATAGCAAAGACTATAGCCTGGATCAGGCACACCTTAGTCTCCAGCCTGACATCGTTGCACTTCAGTACTCTTGAGAGGTCCCTCACAACTGACTTTCCCAGTGCAATTTGTCTCCTTATTTCCTGGCTGCTGCTACCAAGAGTGTTGACTGTGGAGCCAAGCAAACTAAAACTGTTAACTATCTCAATCTCTTCACCATCCATACTGATGCTGCCAATTGGCCCAGTGGTGAGAATCTTTGTTTTCTTGATAGTGAGCTTCAATCCATATTACCTACTTCATATTTTTAAATTATCTCTACTTTCGTATGAACTGTGTTCTCACACCATTCATTTATTTCTGTCTTGACTTCAACACTGGTTCTTCTGCCACTTTATGATGTTTCCCTGAGATAGTCCCTACTACTTCCTGTGATCTTTCTTTTATTTCATCTGTGGTCTAATGATCTCTGTCAGCTTTCTATTTCCCATCTGCAAGTTACTCACAGAGGTGTTGCTTAACTCCAGCTCTGGTCTAAGTAGTAAGACACTCTCATCCACAGCCCGCACTGCACACAGAGACCCTGGATCTGCCTGTAGCTCTAGTTCCACATCTGCTCCTGGAAGCTGCTGAGCAGGTCGGAAGCCAAGAGACACCTGGGTAAGAGAAAGGTATAACTTTTTTTTTTTAATATGGAACGCTTCACAAATTTGTGTGGCATCCTTGTGCAGGGGCCATGCTAATCTCTGTATCATTCGAATTTTAGTATATGTGCTGCTGAAGCAAGCACCAGAAAGGTATAACTTAGAGATCAGATTTGCCTGGAGAGATGGGAAAATATAATTTGTATAGTCAACCAGCATATCCCATTTATTGTGTCAAGGCCATCTCCTCATTTCTTAGAACCTTTTTCCCCAGTAAGATTTAATTCCTTAGGACTAGTACCTTATGATAAAGTTAAAGAAAATAAGCACAGCAAAACAATAACAAAATTTTAGAAGACCAATGGTAGGAAAGAGAATGTGGTATAACTAACTATATAGAACATATGATGACTTGGCTTAACTATTTTAAAAAGAAGAAATAGCAAAGTTGTCCATTTCAATGATTTTAAAGACACAACACCCAAATTCAATATAATCTTCTGATTTCTTGTCCCTACCTTGTCCACACCCCCAACACACAAGATTTTTCTTTATGCCCAGCTTTTTACTTCCCTCCTCAGTTGCCACTTTACCTGATTGTCAAAACACATTTCCACTGAGAACTGAGTTTTGTCAGCTATTACACCCCTGTTGGGGAAAATGGAGTAGATGATCAGGGAAGGATCAGGGGCTAGTTGGGAAGTGAAGGTCAGTGAGAGAGAGAAGGAGCCTTTAGGTCCTGAAATAGAAGAGGAAACACAAGAGAATGATTAATCACTTTTACCCATATGTTTACACTTCTTATTGGTCAATATTTATACACAACTGCTCATTTTTTCTACTCTTCTGTCATTATTGTTCATGTTCTGTTCTCATTGATTCTAATACAAACATTGCTTTCTAGAAGGTTAAAGCATACTTTCCTTGGAGTCATTACTTAGGCAGCATTGAGCATCTGTTTATATAGATAGAAATTAGGCAGCAGATATTGATGAAGGTTACATAATAACTGACTAATAAATATGATTAGCTTAATTATTAATACTACTACTGCAGAGGGTCAAGGATTGAAGTCTTCAATATGGATTGAAGCTTAACATCAAGAAAATAAAGATTCTCACCACTGGTCCAATTGGCACCATCATGATAGATGGAGAAGAGATTGAGATTGTTAACCATTTCAGCCTGCTCGGTTCCACAATCAATACTCTTGGCACCAGCAGTCAGGAAATCAAAAGATAAGTTACATTGGGAAAATCTGCTGTCAGGGACCTCTCCAGAGTGCTAAGAAGCAACAATGGCAGTCTAGAAACTAAGGTATGCCTGATCCAGGCCATAATCTTCACAATTACTTCCTATACATCAGAGAGCTAAGCACTGACCAAGGATGACAGAATAATAATTGATGCCTTTGAATTGTGGAACTGGAGAAGAGTATCGAACATATTATGGACTATCAAGAGAACGAATAGATCTGTCCTAGGGAGGGTGAAACCAAGCTGCTCCTTGGAAGCAAGGATTTTGAGACTATCTTACATATTTTGCACATGCAGCCAGTAGGGACAGTAGTCTTTGATGTTTTTTGTTTTGGTTTTTTAAATTGTTTTTCTTTTGATTTATTTATTTTTTTATTATCAGTTTTAATGAACTTTTACAGAGACTTTGGATTTCCATTCATTCCATGTTGGATTTTTCTTTCTGCCCACCCCTTCCACCCCTGTCCCCTCTTCTCTTTGAAAAGTAAAAGAATTCTTTCATTGTTATACAATCCCCACAATTCCTGCTCCCTTCCCCCTCCCCAGTCCACTCCATTATGTAGCCTTCATTCGAGACTCTTGTCAGGGATAAGACTCCCTCATCTGTTTCAATAGAATATACATTATTTATTCCCTCTTTCTCAGTCTCCTCCTAACCCTGATGTTAGCCTCATTTTACAATAATGGCACTACGCAATATCTGTCCTTTTGTGACTGAGATATTTCACTTAGTATAATGTCCTCCAGGGGCATCCATGGAAACAGATGAGGGACAAAACTGCTTTAAAGGAATATATTATCAGGTATTATTTGCATGATAACAGTCCATAATAAGAGCTGTATAGTAAAGTGGACCAGGGTGGGGTGGGGAATTGTACAATAATGAAATAATTTTTTTTTCAAAGAGAAAAGCTAACTGGGGGTGGGGGCAGGGAGAAAAATGTGCAACAATTAAAGAATGGAAATCTAAGTTCTCTATAAACTTTCATTAAAATCTCAATAAAAATATTCTCATAAACTTTTTGAAATAAAGGAAGATAGTTAAATTGTTGTTCAGTGCTATGGAGTTGGCCACAACTCATAGCAATCCCATAAACCATGAACTCAATCTGAATTCTGTCTTATCCTGTGCCATTCTCATCATCTCCAACACACCTGAGTTTACCACCATAAACCCCTGAAACTATCACCCTGAGGTAATCTTCAAACATAAACCAAAAGTTATCTCCTGAAGTCTTCTTCAAACTGAACAATAGTTTTGCTTAAAACTTCAAAATAGTGAGAGGCATCTGGTCACTGACTGTGCTGTGGACCACCGAGGACAATAACAGACTTTAGGAGAGGTGGACCACAGTCAGGTGAGATTCCAATAGAGAACAGGTAAAAAGAGATATATGATAGGGTATTATGGTTATCACAAGAGTATAGAATGAAGGTTGCCTAGCTGAGTATACTGGGGGGGGGGGGGGGGTGAGGATTGTATAGCCATGAAGGAATTTTTCTTTTACTTTTCAAAGAGAAGAGCAAACTGGGGGCGGGGGGAGGTGTGGCAGGGAGAAAAGTGCAACAATGAATGAATGAAAATCCAAAATCTCTGTAAATGTTCATTAAAATTAATAAAAAAAAAAAAGAAAGGACTTGAAGAACATTAGAAAAGGCAATCTTTCTCCCTGTACAGGATCAGAAAGGACTTCTGGTACAGTTGAGTTACCCTTCCCTGTGAAAGGAATACTTTAAAAATGCAACTAATCAACAGCATCATAACAATAAAGAACAATTGACAACCAATGTAGCCACAACAAAAATGGCCTAACACATACCAAGAAGAACTTTACATAATGTCAAGAAAGCAGCAAGCAGTTTCCCATATTGTAAAAAAACAAAACAAGCCTCTTCCTTAAGAAGCAGATAATCAATCTCAGAGGTACGCGGTTCAAATCCACCAGATGCTCTGCTGGAGAAGGAGGAGCAATCTCCTCCTGTATCAGTCAGATCTGATTTTACGGTACACACACAAAAAAATTTTAAAAAAAGAAGCAGATAATATTACAGACCCAATGAAGGGGGGGTGGGCAGAAGAAATATATTGATGTGGAGGAAAATGAACAACGACTGAAGAGATTCAAATGATGGAAGAAAGAAAGCCATGAAAAAGAGATATAAAATTTTTTAAACCATCAGAAGATAGAGAGGGAATAACCAACAGAATACTAGAAATAACAGAAATGTATGAAAATATAATACAGAGTATCAAGACAGAAATAAAAGAAGTTTCCAAAATGGTGAGGGGTGTAAAGGAGAACAGAAAAAATGGAACAGAGAGTCAGCAAGCTGGAAAATATTAGAATCATGTGGGATGACACTGAAAGGAACAATATATGTGTGGCTGGAATTCTAGACCAGGAGGGGAGCAAGGAAAGCATGGAGCAATTGTGGATGAGATAGTAGAAGGAAACTTTCCAATTATGAAAAATGAGAAAATAGAAAAAAAAAGAATGAGGAAATCCACATTCAAGAAGCTCAACAGACCCCGAATATTCTAGATCCCAAAAGAAAAACATCAATATATATCATTGTCAAGTTTTCCAAAATCAAAGATAAGGATATATATTAAAAGCAACACGAGAAAAACAGTCACCAACAAAGGAGAACCAACTAGATTAGTCTTTTATTTCTCAGTGGAAACTACGTGAGAAAGAAGACCTGAGATGGCATACACACAAGGCTGACAGAAAACAATTGTCAGCAAACAATTGTTGTGTTGTTGTATATTAAAAAAAATTATCATGACCAAATGGAGTTCATAACAGGTTTGCAAGAATGGTTCAACATAAGAAAACCAAAAACGTAATTCATCACATTAACAAAGCAAAGAATAAGAACCAGAGGAGCCTATCAGTTGATGCAGAAAAGGCCTTTCCTAAAACCCAACACCCCTTCCTAATTAAAACACTAAACAAAATAGGAATAGAAGGGAATTTCCTCAACACTGTGAAAAGTATATACACAAACCGAGAGTCAACCTCATTCTCAATGAAGAAAGACTAAAGTCATTCCCTTTGCAAACAGAGACCAGACAAGGATGCCCACTATCACCACTCTATTAAATATTGTATTTTAAGTTCTTGTTACAGCAGTGAGACAAGAGAAGGAGATATGGGCTACCCAAATTGGCTAAAAGGTGGTAAAACCATTGCTGTATGCATTTCTTAAGCTGAAGGAACTGAAGAACAAATTCAAACCTCAAGTTGCAATACTTAAGGATGTTTTGGGCAGAATATTAAATGACCCAGGAAGCATTTTAAAAAGATGGAGAGAGTATACAGAGTCATTATACCAAAAGGAATTGGTGGACACAGAAGAATTTTATGAGACAACATATGAGCAAGAGCCTGTGGTGATGAAAGAAGAAGTTCAAGTTGTTATAAAAGAATTGGCAAAAAAACAAGGCCCCAGGAATTGATGGCATACAGACTGACATGTTTCAACAAATAGACACTGCCTTGGATGTGCTCACCAAGTTGTGCCAAGATATCTGGAGGACAACCACCTGACCAACTGACTGGAAGAGATCTAAAGTTGTCCCCATTCCAAAGAAATGTGATCTGACAGAGTGCAGAAATTATCAGTCTCATTGATAACACATGCAAGCAAAATTCTGCTGAAGATTAACCAAAAATAACTAGAAAAGCACATCAACAGAGAACTGCCTGAAGTTCAGTCTGGATTTAGAAGAGGCTGTGGCACTAGGGATATTACAGCTAATGTCAGATCGATCTTGGCTGAAAGCAAAGAGTACCAGAAGAATGTCTGTCTTTCATTGACTATGCAAAGGCATTTGACTGTGTAAATCACAAAAAAAACTGTCTGACTCTGAAAAGAATGGGAATCCCAGAACACTTGATTGTGCTTATGTGAAACCTATACTTGGACCAGGAGACAGTTGTCAGAACAGAACAAAGAAACACTGCATGGTTCAAAATTGGGAAGGATGTGCATCAAGGATGTGTCCTAATCCCCATATCTTTCCAATCTATATGCAGAACAGATCATCCAAGAAGCTGGGCTCTATGAGGAGGAATGTGGCATCACGATTCGAGATAGACTCATCAACAATCTGAGTTTTGCAGATGACACAACCCTGCTTGCTGGAACTGAGGAGGACCTGAAGCGCTTGCAGAAGGTCAAGGACTACAGCCTCCTATATGGATTGAAGCTCAACATCAAGAAAAGAAAGATTTTCACCACTGGGCAGATTGACAGCATTATGATGGATGGTGAAGAGATTGAGATTGTTGACAGCTTCAGTTTATTTGGCTCTACAATCAACACTCTTGGTACTAGCAGCCAGGAAATTAAAAGACGAATTGTATTGGCAAAATCTGCTGTCAGAGACCTCTCCAAAGTACTGAAGAACAACAATGGCAGTCTGGAGGCTAAGACGTGCCTGCCTCAGAGAGCTGGACTAGGGATGATAGAAGGAGAGTTGATGCCTTTGAGCTTTGGTGCTGGAGAAGAGTATTGACTATATCATGGACTGCTAGGAACAAACAACTTCATCCTGGAGAGGGTGAAGCCAGCCTGCTCCTTGGATGGAGGCAAGGATTCTGAAGCTTCATCTGGCATATTTTGAACATGTTGCAAGGTGGGACCAGTCCTTAGAGAGGGATTTCATGCTTGGAAGGGTGGAGGGACAGTGCAGGAGAGGAAGATCCTTGTTGAGATGGATCAATATACAAAAATCAGTGAGATTTTTCTACAGTAATAAGGAAAGCATGGAAAATGAAACCAAGATAGCAATACCATTTACAATGTTGTTGTTAAGTGCTGTCAAGTTGAGTACAACTCATAGCAACTCTATGAACAGTCGTCCTATACTGTGCCCTGTCCTGTACCATCTTCATCATATCTGATACACTAGAGCCCATTGCTGAAGTCATCATGTCAATTTATCTCATTGGAGGTCTCCCTCTCCTTTGCTGACCCTCTATCCAAACATTATGCCCCTTTCCCCAGGAATAGCATCTCCTAGCTACATGCTCAAAGTATGAAAGACAAAGCTTTGCCATCTTAGAAGAGGTCATGGTACTAGGGATAGTATAACTAATATTAGATGAATCTTGGCAGAAAGCAAAGAATACCAGAAGAATGTCCATCTGTGCTTCATTGACTATGCAAAGGCTTTTGACTGTGTGGATCACAACAAGCTGTGGCTGACTCTGAGAAGAATGGGAATCACAGAACATTTGATTGTGCTAATGCAAAACCTATACTTGGACCAAGAGGCATTCATCAGAACAGAGCAAGGAGATACTACATAGCTCAAAATCAAGAAGTGGGTCAGTCAGGGATGTTTTCTATCTCCATACCTTTTCAGTTTGTATGCAGAACAGATCATCTGAGATGCTGGGCTGTATGAGGAAGAATGTGGCATCGGTATTGGTGGAAGAGTCAACAACCTACCTTATGCAGATGACACAACCCTGCTTGCTGAAACTGAGGAGGACCTGAAACACTTGCTGCAGAAGGTCAAAGACTGCAGCCTCCTATATGGATTGAAGCTCAACATTAAGAAAACAAAAGATTCTCACCACTAGGCCAATTGGCAACATCAGTATGGATGGTGAAGAGATTGAGATAGTTAACAGTTTTAATTTACTTGGCTCCACAGTCAACACTCTTGGTAACAGCAGCCAGAATCAAGAGATGAATTGCATTGGGAAAGTCAGCTGTAAGGGACCTCTTAAGAGTACTGAAGAGCAATGATGTCAAGCTGGAGACTAAGGTGTGCCTGATCCAGGCTATAGTCTTCGCAATTACGTGCTATGCATCAGAGAGTTGGACAGTGAATAGAGATGATAGAAAGAGAATTGATGCCTTTGAGCTGAGGTGCTGGATAAAAGTGTTGAATATACCATGGACTGCTAGGAGAACAAACAAGTTTGTCCTGGAGAAGGTGAAGCTGGAATGCTCCTTGGAATCAAGGATTCTGAAGCTTTGTCTGACGTACTTTGGGCATGTTGCAAGGATAGACTGGTCCTTGGAGAGAGGCATCATGTTTGGCAGAGTGGAGGGGCAGCCCAGGAGAGGAAGACCTTCTATGAGATGGATCAATTCTGTGACTGGAGTGGTGGGAATGAGTGTGTTTGAGATGACGAAGTTGGCACAGGATAGAATGGCGTTTAGAGCTCTTGTACATAGAGTCTCTATGAGTCGCAAGCAACTTGATGGCACATAACAACAACATCTAATAAGATGTGTCCAAAAGGGGTAAGGGAGTGGATAAAGAGATGGGAAATGGATATGTGTGGAAACATGAGGATAACAGAGTTTGGTGGGTAGATGGAGTGGGGCTGGTGATGAAGGAATTAGGAAAGATTTAATGGGGACTTGAAAAGACGTGGTCATAAGAGTCATAGATCAATGGAGAAGAATTTGATAAAACACAATACACATGAATGATTGTATGAAATAAAATGTGAATGAAGGAATGTGTAAAACACATTGTACGTGAATGAAAAAACATAGGAATTTTTTTATGCAAACCAACATAAATGAAAAAAATTTTTAAACCTTTAACAATAGTAAAAGTAGTCTACCTTAACTATTATCCTCTTTTAAAAACACCGTCTGTGTAGGGTCAATTTTGATCTTTTGTGATACAGTGAGTTAAGAGTTGGAATGCTAACCAAAAGCCCAGAATCTTCCTGTGCCTATAGGGTCACTGTGAAATGTAATCAAATCAATGGCAGTGAGTTTGAGTTTATTTACATAGGATTAAATTGACAACAGCAACTAACTAGAGAGATTAGATAGGAACTTTAGGGACAGTAAGTTTATTTTAATGGGGAAGGAACAACTCACTAAAAGGGGTGAAAATGTTTAAACAATTCAAAGAATATTCAACTCTGCCACTAACTTGTAGAAACTTGAATATTTTGCTGTATATATTCTCAACAACCAAATAAATATAATTTGATGGAGGGGGAAGCCAAGCCTATTAAATTAGCAGAAGTTGTGTTACTTATTTTTACAAGAGAAGCTTATGCACACACCTTTCTTAATATTCAGATGCTTCTGTCCCTCTATCTCCAAATTTCCTCTCCCAATTACCTAAAGAAGAGAAGAAAATTATCAGTACAGAAGTTGTGGAAGTTTAGCCTTGACCTGACTTCTGGAGCATCCCTGCATTCTTCCATGAAAAGAGGCTCCTTTCCCAATTGCAAAACTCAGGTTACTATTTCACCAAGTGCCCTTTCACTTTTCAAAATGCAGAATAGTGCCCAACAAGTCCAGCTGGCTCCTCCTCCAGTAGGAAGAAATGCCTGAGAGCCACAAAGTCAATATTGCCTTGGGATCAGACAGAATAAAATAATTCCTTGTAATGATTTCCCCCTGATCTATCATTTTGTGAAGATATCCAGAGAAAGAACCTTTCTGGCTATGGGTTTTATTTTCTCACAATCCTCAAAATGAAAAGACAGCTACAATCTGTCTTTATGGACCTTATTTTATTACCACTCAATTTAATATTCTGTGGAAATTAGTGTGTCTCAAACTGTCCTCAGCCCCTTTGACACTTGATCATCTGAAAAAGAAATCTTTCTCTCATTTGAAATCTGATTCCTTAGAACTGCCTCTTCACAAGCTCAGCTCTCAGATCCTGCAGCAGCTCCACGGCAGGTTTCTCAGACTGCCATCTGACACTCAGCCTTCTTCACTGCTCAATCCCAGCCTTCCTTTTCTGGTAGGTTTCTCCACACTTCTGTCCTGAAGATATTTCATGACAACTGGGCTGTTCTTTTACTTCCTAGAAAAAAATCTAGCCCTCTTCCTTCTGTCGTGTCTAGATGGTTATCTTGACTTGATGATGCCAGTCACTGGGATGATCCAATGGGTAGAAAGTCTCTCAGAGAATGAGAGGCTGATAAGAAATTAAAGAGACATCTTACATCATTGACCTGGGGTTTATAAAACTCTAGGAGTTGCATTGCCAACCTAAAGTCAGGCGATTCAACTCTACCAGGTGCTCTGCAGGAGAAATATGGCCGTTTTTCTCTCGTGTGATTTACAGTCTGTAAATCCACTGGATGGTCAACTATGGTCAGTTCCAACTTGAGAGCAATGAGTTGAGTTGAGTTGAATAACTATTATAGAGCCCTAGTGGTATAGTGCCTAGGGAGCTGCACTGTTAACCCAAAGGAGGTAACTCTTTACCAGTTCAAATCCACCAGTGCTTTCATGGAAGAAAGATGGGCAATCTCCTCCCATATGATTTACAGCCTTGGAAACCCAATGGAGGGTCAACTATGAGTTGATTCTGACTTGACAATGAGTCTGAGTTTGGTTTTTTTTTTTTTTAGAATTCCTTATTAGGAGCCATAGCACTGAAATCTATAATGTGTTGTACAGCTAGCCAAAATACTGCATGCTTTTGGAAGTTCAAATCCAACAGATGCTCAGCAGGATAAATAATAACATTGTCCTCTGGTTAAGATTTATAGCCTCAGAAATTCATTGAAATATCACTATGCATCTCAACAGCTGTGAGTTTGAGTTTTGAGAGTTTTAATTCCCTTCTAGAGTGTTTCCCTCATTGTGTAGAGCTGGAAAGGTCTCATAGCTAACCTTCATTTGCTTTTGAAGATAGCATATTGCACAACAGGAAACTGTCCATTCTTTTCCCTCGGAGCCACTGGTGAATTAAAAAAATCCAGAAAAGTGTTGCCCTTATGTCAGTAATGCAACTCATTGTGGACAATGCCACAAGAGCACTGGAGTACCTGGTGATACAACTGTCAACACACTTGACTGCTAATTGAAAGTGTGGTAGTCCACGTCTGCCCACAAGTGCCTCTGAAGAAAGGTCCAGTGATCGACTCCCAAAATTCCAGCCATTGAAACCCTCATGGAGCACAGTTGTACTCTGACACACATGAGATCACTGTAAGTTTAAGTCCACTCAATGACTTCTGTTTTTTTAAAATAATTGTTTCATTTCCTACCAAAATAAAAACTAATCTCTATGTGGGAAAAAGATGGACAGTCTCCTCTTGTGCAATTTACTGCTGCAGAAAACTCACTGAAGGGTCAGCTACGAGTCAGTTCCAACTCAACAGTGCACAACAACAGTCTCTGACTTATTTCCGACTACGAATTCTGACCTTGTTTCCCCCACCACACCTTCTATTTATTAATGTTAATAACATGATAGTGCACAGAAAGAGAATTACCCCAAGTCCCAAGGTTTTTCACTCCTATTCTCCACCATTCTTTTCAACCTAGTGAGCAACACTTTCTTTTTTCTTTAATATTTATTACAATTTTCTTCACTCATATGCATTGTATTTCACACATTCCTTCGTTCACATTGTGTTTCATAAGATCATCCTCATACATTGTGTCTTATACAATTAATCACCATTGATCTATGCCCACTATTAACTCACCTTTTACAGATTCTATTGTAACTTTCCTAATTCCTTCATCTACTCTCTCCATCCAGTGTGATTCTGCCTTCCCACCCTGAGGCCCCATGCATCCTCCCCCTCATTCATTGACACATATCTTACTAGATATCCTTCTATTTTTACAATAATGGTATTACACAGTATTTGTCCTTATGAGACTGAGTTCACTCAGTATAAACTTTTTAGCCTCTCCCATGTTATACTGAATTTTTTTTACATTTTCAGCAACATTTTCCTAATTCCTTGTCTTATTTCATCACACAATTTCCCTCAGATCCTGCTCAAAACATTTTCTCCTAATGTTTTTCCATCTTAACTATGTAATATGGTAGCAACTCACAGCATTATTAAGAAGTTTAAATGTGGCTAGTCAAAACTGAGATGTGCAATAGTATATACACACTAGATTTTCAAAGTCTTAGCTGGCACCAAGAATTTAAAATGCCTATTAAGCTTATATTATTACAGAATGAAAAAAATACATTTATTATTAGATTAAAATATTACTAAGATTAATTTTACATATTTTCATTTCTCTAAAGTGGCTACTGGGAAATTTGAAATTACATATGTATGGTTCACATTATAGCTTAACTTAAACAATCTCTTTAGCTGATTCTCATTCCCTTTCCTTCCATAAACATTTTTACTATCCCCATTTGCTGGACTCACATAGTAGGAGAAGATGACTTCCTCATCAAGGCTTGCATCAGCTGGATCAATGTAATAATTTACCAGGACTTCCTGGGGCTGGCCACATTTCAGGATGCCAGTTAGCCGACGGATGCCAAGGAAACTGCGGGTTGTGTTGTAGAAGGGTTGCAGATGCAAGTAAGCATTCTGGTAGTAGCGAGGCACTTGCTCTGGATCATATACCATATCTTCCATTTGGAATCTGCCCTGAGAGATAAACGTGGGATAGGAAGGTCTTCAAGCACTGATTTTCAACCATCTAAAACCCAAGGCTATCTCACTTGAAGTTCAGCCAAGGGTGGGTTAACAATCAATAACAGTGGCATATGCAAGCAGCATTTTAGTATGAATGGGCATAAAAGAGGGCTGTGTTACATTTAAAAACTTGTGGCTCATATGCCTTCATAGACTGATGCCTGGAAGATAGGTACGCATGAGGAAGATTACCTGTTGTTGTTATGTGCCATCAAGTCACTTGCAACTCATAGCAACCCTATGTACAACAGCCCTAAACTCCGCTCTGTCCTGTGCCAATCACACCATCTCCAATACACCCATCCCAATTGCCCCAGTCACTGAATCAATCCACCTCATAAGGGGCCTTCCCCTCCTGCACTGTCCCTCCACCCTACTAAGCATGATGTCCTTCTCCAAGGACCAGTCCCTCATTACAACATGTCCAAAGTATGTTAGACAGAGCCTCAGAATCCTTGCCTCCAAGGAGCTGCCCAGTTTGATCCTTTCCAGGATGAATCTGTTTGTTTTCCTAGCAGTCCATGGTACCCTCAATACTCTTCTCCAGCACTACAGCTCAAAGGCATCAATTCTCCTTCTATCCTCCTTGGTCATTGTCCAACTCTCTGATGCATAACAAGTGATTGCAAAGACCATGGCCTGTATCAGACACACCTTAGTCTCCAGAGAGACACCATTGCCCTTCAGTACTTTGGTGAGGTCCCTAACAGCAGACTTTCCCATCCCAATACGTCTTTTAATTTCCTGGTTACTGGTGCTGAGAGTGTTGACTGTGGAACCAAGCAAACTAAAGCTGTGAACAAGCTCAGTCTCTTCACTATCCATCCTGATGCTTCCATTTGGCCCAGTGGTGAGAATCTTTGTCATCTTGATATTGAGCCTCAATCCATATTGGAGGGTGCAGTCCTTGACCCTCTGCAGCAAGCGCTTCAGGTCCTCCTCAGTTTCAACAAGCAGGGTTGTGTCATCTGCATAACGCAGATTGTTGATAGATCTTCTACCAATCTTGACCCCACATTCCTCCTCATAGAGCCCAGCCTCCCTGATAACCTGTTCTACATACAGGTTGAAAAGGTATGGAGATAGGACACATCCATGGTGCACATCCTTCCCAATTTTGAACCATGCAGTGTTTCCTTGCTCTGTTCTGACAACTGCCTCTTGGTCCAAGTATAGGTTTCTCATTAGCACGATCAAGTGTTCTGGTATTCCCATTCTTCTCAGAGTCAGCCACAGTTTGTTATGATCCACACAGTCAAACACCTTTGCATAGTCAATGAAACACAGATAGACATTCCTCTGGTATTCCCTGCTTTCCGCTAAGATCCATCTAACATCAGCTACAATATCCCTAGTGCCACAACCCTTTCTAAATCCAGCCTGGACTTCTGGCAGTTCTCTGCTGATGTGTTGTTCTAGTCATTTTTGGATAATCTTCAGTAGAATCTTGCTTGCATGTGAAATTAATGACACTGTTCTATAGTTTCCACACTCTGTTGGGTCACCCTTCTTTGGGATGGGAACAAATATAGATCTCTTCCAGTCAGTTGGCCAAGTGGTTGTTCTCCAGATTTCTTGGCACAACTTGGTGAGCACATCAAGGGTAGCATTTGTTAGCTGAAATACTTCAATTGGTATACCATCTATTCCTGGGGCCTAATTTTTTGCTATTTCCTTCAAAGCAGCTTAAACTTTTTCCTTCATCACCATAGGCTCTTGCTCATGTGTTGTTTCATGAAATTCTTCTGAGTCTGCCAATTCCTTTCAATACAGTGACTCAGTATATTCTTTCCATCTTCTTTTAATACTTCCCAGATCATTTCATATTCTTCCTAAAGCATCCTTGATTATAGCAACTTAAGGTTTGAATTTGTTCTTCAGTTCCTTGAGCTTAAGAAATGCTGAGTGAGTTTGGCCCTTTTGATTTTCTGTCTCCAACTCCTTGCACATTTCATTGTAATATTTTACTTTGTCATCCCGCACCACCTTTTGATATTTTCTATTCAACTCTTTGGTATCTTGAGTTCTTGGATTTCACCTGATGGTATGCATAGGAATCAGATTGATTACATCCACGGAAAGAACTGCTGGAGAAGCTCAGTATCAGCTGTGAAAACTAGGCCACCAACTACTCATATGCAAATTCAAGCTGAAGCTGAGGAAAATTAAACCAAGTTCACGGGAACCAAAATATGACTTTGAGTCTATCTCCCCAGAATTTCAGAACCATCTCAGGAGCAGGTTTGAGGCCTTGAACACTAATGAGTGAAGACCAGGAAATTTGTGGAAGGATATTAAGGGTATCATCCAGGAAGAGTGCAAACGGTCATTGAAAAGACAGAAGAGGAAGAGAAGACCAAAATGGATGTCAGTAGAGATTCTGAAATTGCACTGGAAGATTGCTTAGCATTTTAAAATTATGACTCAGAATTGAGAGAGGATGATAAGGTTGACTAATAATTATTCTTAAGTAGAATAATTATGTGATATTTAGAGTAAATAGTCAAATTGTTTATAAGGTAAATTATTGGTGTTTGTTTATGCAATGGAATTGAAAGACTGCAATAATAGTTACATTTCTTTATCCCTCCCTGTATCAATACTTTTGCAATACAATCTTGTAGGGCCTTCTCAGCCTGATTATAGGTAGGTCCCGCCATGTGACTTGTTAAGAATAGAATGATAGCATATGAATCACAGGAGAGGCTTAAAAAGCCCCTTGCACACATCTCTTTTACGTTTGTCTCTCCAGCATTCCCGTTAGGACATGCACAAATTAAACGGCTGGAGAGACATGTGAATGACAGCTCTATAGCCAACTGACCCACAGACATGTGAAGAACGTCAAATAAGATTACCTATTTTACCATTCCAGATACATGAGCAAGAAATGCTTACTACAAATCTGACATTTTAGAATGTTTTTATGCAACATCGTTGTGGCAGTTGACAAGCAGCTTCTCTTAAAGGTTACTAAAAGTTTGAATCCTCTTCTCTGCCATTTAAAGGGTAATGGAGGGAGAGGACAGGGGAACAGGAGGAAAACTCTGAACAATCTTTCTCAATTCTTATTTCCTATAACTCAGGAGACAGCTTGATGGCAGCTAACAACAGCAACAACAATTATAATCTAATATATAGGACTAGATAGCAATGGAGCTAAAACATAAGATAAATTAGTGGAAATAAATTTTTTTTCTTAAAGGCTATTTATTTGGTCTTTACTAAAAATAGGAAGGACATAAAAAACCCTTTTTGTCAACTGTGGAGTGACAGAGGTTGAATTTGGGGGTAAGTGTGAGGAGTATGAAGTAGCAAAATGTAGATTATAGACTTTTAGGAAGCATTTCTTGCTGGGAAGATGGATCTTCCCCAGCGTTTACCTCCAAAGAGATGTCTGTTCCATTCCAGGGAACTGTGTCCAGCTTGAAATGAGCAAAGCCATTGTTGTCAGTAGTGAGGGTCTGGGTGTTGGTGCCATTTATGCCATAAGTCACCAGAAACACTTCTTGCTTCTTGAGAAGGGTCCCATCATGGTCCATCACTTTTATCTGGGAGTAAAACCATTAGGGCATTAGAGTTAGCTTTGGAGTAGTTGCAGTTTGAGGAGAAGTGAAATGAAATTCAAAGAATACATTTCATGAAAGAGTGCAGAGAATGAGAAATAACATTCTAGGTTGAGATATTAGCATCTGTGAGAAACGAAGAACCAATTACAGGTTCCTTAGTTTGGAGCAAAGGCAGATTAGCCACACAACTAAAAATGTTTAGTCTATAGGGTCCCTCACTTGCACAGGCCTCTTCAAAGTTGGCTATATTATTTGTCTTTTATGGCATTTTAGTGGTCTTTCTTTCTCAAAAGAGCTGCAAATTATATAATACTTGGGCTTTAGAAAATGATGGGTTTACCCTTGCTTGATCTAGAGAAAAAAATAACTGAGGAATAATTGGTTCTAACATATACACTATTACTGTGTTGACAGGTCATTTGTCAAATAAAGAAGATAAACTGGACAGAGGAAATTTTTAAATCTTACAACGCTTAAGGTGCTATAAATTATTTTCTGTTTGGAAAAGTGTGGTAATAATCTTGTCTCACTGGAGGAACCCATGCTAAATTTCTCTAGAACCATACAGCCAAATACCCAAACCCATACCGTCTAGTCAATTTCAACTCATGTGACCCTGCAAGGTACAACAGAACTGACCCATAGGGTTTCCAACACTATAAGTCTTTACAGAAGCTGACTGACACGTCTTTCTCCCATAGAATTACCGGTGGGTTTGAACTGCTGACCTTTCAGTTAGTTGTCAAGTGCTTAACTACTGTGCTATTAGGTCTTCTTCCAGAACACTCAGATCATATAAATGGAAAGATTTCATCATTAGAAGAAAAGTTCTAGGCATTAGGAAAGGTACTGTAGTCACTGTAATATTCAAAGGAAATTTCATGTTGGATTAAGTACACTGCATAGGAATCAACAGTTATGTTCTGCAGTTGCTTGTAGTTACCACTTAATAGCTGGGAAAGATCACTTACTCACTGTGCCTCACTCTTCTCCATCTCTGTAAATTGGAGACAATAATACTGGTAGTCCTGTTCTGAAGATTAAACAAGCAAATACATGCAAAAGCCTGGAAGTAAGCTAGCTATTATTACACATCTATAGGAAAGAGACAAAAGAGAGTGGGCAAGTGTTTGGGTTTGTTTGTTTGTTGTTTTTTTTTAACTGTGTAGAAATAAGTTCCAGCATACCTTCCCAGTGAAGGGGAAATTGGGATAATAGAAATTATTGGTGTCTTCAAAGGTCATTGATCCTATTTGTGAAGAAATGTAGATCTCCTTTGTGGTATTGGCCTCCACACCTGAAGAGGAAAACTAGGTAAATGACAATCCAAGGTCCTCATATTTCTATCTTCACATTTAACATAAAATCTCTGAGAAGAGGCTGCCACTGGAACAATGAAAGCTGAATATATTTTGGGCTAGATATTTAGACTAACTTTTGCTAGCCAGTTTGCTGGAGAAATAGGCAGTGGTTTTACTCACTCATTCATTAATTACCATTGAGTTGGAACTAGCTCACAGTTGTTGACCGTCCAGTGGGGTTTTGGAGGCTATAAATCTCATGGGAGGAGATTACCCATCTTTCTCTCATGGAGCCACTGGTGAATTCGAACCAACAGAGAGGTATGGCCTTTGGATTGGCAGCAATGGATGAAGAGTAAAATCTGGTATTTCCCCTTGACTATGAACCAGGAGCAAGTCACTCTCAAACACTCATGAGCCCTCTGATTAATCCTAGTTTGGGGACAGCACCTTCTATCTCTTTTCCTGAGAAGTCAAATAGTATTCAGCTTACCTGTCCCATCTTCCACTAGAGTAGCCACAATATTGATGCTCTGGCTGTAAGCGTAGGCAGTGAGGTTGAAGGTAGACATGTCCACAGAGGCTGAAAGGCATCCTGCTTTGTCAGTCTGGAGGAGAGGTCAGAGAAAGATGAGTGTGACCTATTCCTTCTTCTATCCTCTGACATGTTGTAGAAGGAAGTGATTTTTTGTCTCTATAATACAGGGTCTCCATCTTTAAAATGGAAATATTCTCCTATATCCTAAATGGGACGTATGTACCAGCCCATACCTACTGTTGTCATCAAGTTGATTCTAACTCATGGAGACCCTATGTATTACAGAGGTGAGATGTTCCAGAGAATTTTCTGGTCTGTAATCTTCATGGAAGTGTATCACTGACCCTTGTTTACTATTAAACCTCTGCTGAGTGGGTTTGAACCACCAGCCTTTACTTTATCAGTCAAATGGCAGCCAATTGCATCACCCAGTGTGAGCTCATCCACATTTCCATAAACAAGGCAAGCATAATATTATCAAAATATAACTCTCAGGTTGTGTGGGAAAGAGAATAGGGAACAGAACTAACTGAAGGCCTCAGATATTGCATCTCATAGGGCTGAGATGAATTTCTTAACTCGAAGGTAGATTCTGTATGAGTTAAACAGTTTTTTTAAAGGCCTTACTTATTTATTTCTTTGGTATAGGATAACAGTCCTGTGAATTGCTTTCTACTTTGGTCTTATTACCACTTTTCTATATGGGTCCTACTTATTCTGGGGGATAGAAATAAAATTCCTTTTTTACATCCAATTACTCACTTGTCCAGAGACTTTCTTGCATTTGTCAGGCAGCTGCTGTTCCGTCTCTCGATACCAGTAGGTATATGCCTTCTGACACACAGAAACCTGCGCTGTTCCTAGCACAGGCTTTCCATAGGTATACCTACCCAGGAAAGCGTAACCAGTCAGTCAGGAAATTCCACTTGTGAGCCAACCTTTCTAGCCTAAAATGCTAGTTTTCTTCCTTCCTTTAACGTTCACCCTTTGAAAGTGCTCTGACAATCCTGCTCTTCCTAAGCTCTTATTCTCTTCTTAGCCTTCCTCTGACCCCTTGAATATTGCCAATACACCATTACACAGTAAGCATCATCCTAAGACAGAAACAGGGTCTTTCTGTCTTCTTTATAAACCAAAAACCCTCTGATGTTGAATCAATCCTGACTCATAGTGACGCTTTAAGGTTGAACATCACTACCCCATAAGGTTTCCAAGGCTGTAAATCTTGGCTCAAACACACTGGCAGATCTTTCTCCTACAGAGCACCTGTGCCTTTGAACTGCCCATCTTTATTTAGCAACCTGGTCCTACTGCACCACCAGGGTGCTTTTCTTTATCCATTGCAAATTAAAAGAATCCAAACTCATTGCTTCTGACTCACAGAAACATTACTGAGCAGAGTAGAACTGCCTAGAGAGTTTCCAAGATGACAAATCTTTACAGAAACTGATAACTACATATTTTTCCTGTGGAGCGGCTAGTGGGCTCCACCATCAATCTTTTGATTAACAGCCGAGGGCTTTAACCCCTGTGCCACCAGCACTGTTTATGTTGTTGTTAAGTGCCATCAAGTTGAGTATACCTCATAGCGACCCTATGCACAACAGATTTAAACCATGTCCTATCCTGCACCATCCTTATAATCTCTGATATACTTGATCCCAGTGCAGCAGCCACAATGTCAGCCCATTTAGTTGAGGGTCTTCCTCTCCTTTGCTGTCAACTAAGCACTCTTTATACTTTCTCCAATTTCTTATAGAACTTGATTTGTACTCTGCAAAAACTAAGTCACTGAGTGACCAGTGAGAAGTCTTAACAGAAACACAACTAGAAAATGAGTTCTTGGGTAAGTGATGACTGAACTATATCAAAGAATGTGAGTCCAAACCCTTTCCTTGCAACCTCTCTCCCTGTAACACTCCCCCTTCATTATTCTCAATCTAGTGTTAGTCTTTAACAGATGCAGTACGTCTTTTCATACCTACTACAAATTTTTACTAGGAAAGATTCTTTCACTGTTGATATCTGCTTGGGTTCCACTACTTCCACCTTAAATTTAGGCAGCACTACAAAGAGAAAAGAATAATGAATTGGAAGAAGGCTTGCCTAGCTGTTAAATCACAGCCTCACCTCACCCGCAGCCAATGAATAGATTCTGACTCATAGAGACCCTTCATAGTGTCTCTGAGCCTGTAAATATTGAAAGGAGCAGACTGCTTCCTCTTCGTTCCATGGCGTAGCTGATAAATTAAACTGATCTTTTGGTTAACAGTCTAACCTTTAACCAGAGGAATATAAAAACATAGATAATTAAAACATACAGAGCATGAATGACAAAGATAGCAGCTAAAATTATTAGCTGGTTTAACATTGATTTTTAAAAAATTAATATAATAAAAAATCAATCTCCCCAGGAGATAATACTTTACCTTTGCTAATTTTGAGACAAATTATGACCTAAACTTCGATCAGTTACTTTCCCAACCTACCATATTCTTCTACACTGAAGGTGGCAAAGGTCTTGTCTCCAGCCACTGCCACAGTATAGGTACCCAACATTGCCTCACATGCCAGTTGAAAAGAGAGGTCTACAATGCCTTGCTTGGGCACCTCTTCCAGCCATTGTGCAATCCTGTTGTTATTTGGATCCTGTGTCCAGCAGAAAGAAATAAAATTATGTACCTGCTTACTGGCTGCCCACTTTTTACTGAGGTCCCTATGGGTTTTTTAATGCAGGAAGGAAGGAAAGTTTGAAAGTAGACATGTATACAAAGACTGAAAGCATTATACTCCTCCTTTTATCCAGGAAAAGGCACCTCCCTATATTGTTTGAGAAAGGGACCCATTTTCTTTCATGTCCAATCTATTTTTAAGAAAATAATAAATCCTTGTAAATTTAAATCATCAGATTGACTCTCTTATGGTTTTAACACCAGCCAACTTTAAGCCTTTTCGTGTTCTTATAAAGCTGAAGGTTTTTACTGTAAAATACCTGACAGAATGATCATTTGAGGGATAAATGAAGGAAATTATGGGAGAATTTACCCTTCCAATTCCTTTCCTTGTAACAACAATAAAATCAAAACCTCTTGTCAGTGGGTGCTCATGTAATTGTTCAACTGTTGAAGAGTGTTTGACAAAAACTATTACCTAAGTCTCAGAAGAGTACACAGCTAAGACTAGTTGAGATAACATGGCATAGAGAAGTTACAGGAATTAGGGTGGAGGACAGTAACTGTAGCAGAAGTTGGTATTTATTTTTTTCTCCAGAAGCTTAGGTCTGAGAAAGTAAAAGAGTAGAGGTAAAAAGAAATACACGCTCTAGTGGAACTATGAACATGTAGATCAGAGCCAAGATCTCAGGGTCATTTCTAGCTTTAAAGTTTAGCACCAGATGCTTATTTCTCCTTCTGCATAACTGAGAAAAAAAGAAAGAAAGAAAACAAATGTCTACTTACCAACAGCTCCACCATGGGGTACTGCAAAGGAAAACCAGATAAGATGGGTTCAAGCACGGTAAATAAACAAAGATAAGATTTCTTTAACTATATTGCTCACCCTTCCTCCTAATACCACCTTTGTGCTCTGGTAACTGTAAAAATGGAAGCTGATTGAGCTTATTAGGTGGGCAAGGAGGGAGAAGATGTTTCCTTGACAGGATTGCCAGCCTTTTAAGATTTAAAGAAAGGGAGCTCCAAGCCTTTCGGCACCCCTCAGTTCTTTCTGCAACAGCTCTTCCACAGCATAGCCTAAAAGAATGGGTCTCACTCAATTGTTTGCCAGTGTTTAACTTGATAATCAACCAGCTTCCGGCCTCTTCCACTATCTGAATGCCACTAGGCTAGGGCTAAGTCTATCTTTCCAAAATAACTTGAAAAATAATTTGTTTTTCCTAAAGTTCTATCAAAGGATTATGAGTAATTTCTCAAAGAAATTATTGCTAAAACCATTAAATCGGTGAGAGACAGCTAACACCTAATTAGGTGTTAAAGTATCACCACAAAATTACTTGCTAATTTAAAAAGGGAAATCTTTTACAAGGAAGAGATATGACTGACATTACCTCAAACAAACTCATAATCACTAACAATGGGACAATCTGACATTTTGTGCTGATGTGTTAAAAAATGAGGTTCACAATTAAAACAGACATTCGGGGTGGGGGAAGAAGAACGAACTGGGGAGGAGGGTAGAGAAAACAGTGCAACAATGAATGAATGAAAACCCAAAATCTCTGTAAATGTTCATTGAAACAAATAAAATTTAATAAGAATTAAAAAAATGAGGTTCACAACATTATCTAAGAGATATCTTTGCTCAAAAAGACCCATCTAATTAAGACTCAAGATATGGTATCTAGTGACTAGAAGGACAAGTTAGATTATATAAGAAATAACCAGATAAATCAAGAATATCCTATAAAACAACTTGCTATTGTTGTGTTGTGTTTCCATCAAGTTGGAACCAACCCATTGCTGACCCGTCAGTAGATTTTCAAGAGGCAGTAAAACGCAGTGAAGGAAATTGTTCATCTTTCTTTCAGAGCAGCTGGTGGATCCAAATCATGTACCCTTGCATTGACAGCACAATTCCTGACCACTAAGCCACCAGACATAATACAATTGTTGTTGTTAAGTGCCTTCAAGGTGAGTATGACTCACAGTGATCCTATATACAACACATCTGAACCCTGTCCTATCCTGTGTCATCCTCATCATCTCTGACACACGTGAGCCCCATTGTGGCAGTCACCATGTCAACCCACCTAGCAGGAAGTCTTCCTTTCATTTACTTTCCCTCCACCTTTTCAAGCATGGTGTCCCTTTTCAAGGAATATTCCCTTTTAACAACATGCCCAATATATGAGGAACAAAGCTTCACCATCTTTGCCTCTAAGGAGCACCCTAGCTGCACTTTTTCAAAGATGTATCAGTTTGTTCTTTTGTTGGTTCATGGGATATGCAGTACTCCTCTCCAACAAACTGGTTGTCATTGTTGTTGTTTATTGTCGAGCCAGAATGAACTCATAGCTGACCCTCCTTTCAGAGGATATTTACTGTCTATTTTCAGAGGCCATAATCACAAGAGTTGATTGCCTGTCTTTCTCCCACAGTGCAGCTGGTGGATTTGAATCATGTGTGTTTGGGTTGGCAGTGCAGCTTTTGTCACTAGGCCCCCAGAACTCCCTATTCTCCAACAATATATAACTCTTAAATCATTTTCCAGGATGGGAACATTCCATAAGTCATCATGCCTATCATTAACCTACTTGGCTATTTCTCTCACAGAAACTAAAAAAGAGGGCTATATAATAATTTAAAAAGGGGGGGGGTGATTGCTTTTTTATTAAGACAGATTTAAAAGTTAAAGTCAAATGCAATTCATAAACTTGACTGGATCCTAGTTTGGAGGGGAAAATAGCTCTAAAAACCATTTAGAAAATACAGGCCATGGTCTTCGCAATCACTTGTTATGCATCAGAGAGTTGGACAAGACCAAGGAGGATAGAAGGAAAATTGATGCCTTTGAGCTGTGGTGCTGGAGAAGAGTATTGAATGTACCATGGACTGCTAGGAAAACAGATTCATCCTGGAAAGGGTTAAACCGGGTGGCTCCTTGGAGGTAAGGATTCTGAGGCTCCGTCTAACATACTTCAGACATATTGTGAGGAGAGACTGGTCCTTGGAGAAGGACATCATGCTTGGGAGGGTGGAGGGACAGCACAGGAGGGGAAGGCCCTCTATGA